AAAAATTCCATCCTGCTGAGTACGTGAAGAAGTTGCTCAAAACATCACCAGAGTCCAGGACCAACCTCCAGTTCACATAATTTCTTCCAGCTGCAAGGTAAGCTTCTGCTGACTCTCACCACATTACTTAAGCGTTACCAAGTTTGCATGTTCAAAAATACAATGTAGATATCATGTTTCAGATGTTGTACATATTCTGAGATTTCCTGCATCTGCCTGCCTAAGTAGGAAATAAATTAGTTCAGAACTTCTAGAAGAAATTAGAACTCAGAATTAGGATTAGTATTCATACTTGCCTCTGATTTATAGTTCTGATATTTCTTATTTCTGAAACACTATGACACCTGCCATAACTGTCATATGCACATCTTTTGTTTATGGAGAAATGACCAAGTTGCAGATGTTCTGACTAGCATGGAGAGAGAGAGACCAAGTTCTGCCAGTGGTATCAAAACTTCTGAAATCCACTTTGTTGTCAATGGTATCAGAACTTCTGAAATCTACTCTGTTACCGGTGGTATCAGAACTTCTGAAAGCTAATGTGCCCCCAGTGGACTCAGAACTTCTGAATCTACTTTTTTTTTACTAACAGGATTTCTATTTTGCAGTGCGCCAGAGCCAGAACTTCTGACCTCCCTTAATCAGCAATACGTTAATTCTATTTTTCCTTTTTCTCACTATTTTTGCTATCACTTTCTATCTCATTAATCAACAAACACAAAAAACATTTTTTTCATGTTTTATTTTATTTCTTAAAACAAAAGACCAAAAATATTTTCTTAAACAAAACTTATTTCTTTTCTTAAATAAATAAGTAATTTACGTTTCTTGCACATTCTGACTCATTTCGATATGGTTGTAATGGTAATTTAGGATTTAATTTTACTTGCAACCCCATTCATAAATATGTACCCCCATCCCCCTAAAGCGATGTAATAACTTAGATTTTACTTTTCACATTTTTATTTGCTTTTCATATATTGCTAGTAAATAGGATGTATGGCAAGATAAAAATCAACAAATAGATGACTTTCAAATACAAGATGAAATGCATGCAATCAAACACACTATTCACACATGCACCCCTAGGGTGATCTCACTTGTTGCATATCGGAAAATAGTCATGTCCCTCGAAAATGGGACGTTTTAGTAAAAACCCTTCGATAAAAAAGATCGTAGTCCCTCGATGACCCTCGATGTTGCCTTCGGTAAACGATCTAGTCCCTAAATGACATTGCTAAAACGTTCCATGGGTTGCCTTCTATGACTATACAAACGTCCCAACGCCCGTCCCTTCACATTCAACGATGGGGCTTCTTACCAAATCAGTGGTAAGATAGCCACATCTAAAGGAGAAGGAAAAGTGTATTTAATACCTTTTGAGTAGGTAGGTTCGCTCTTAGTTACTCGCTTGCTCACAGCAAAAACCTTTTTATGCACCAACACTCTCACTTTGAAACACTTTTGAAAACAACACTTTGTACGCGTTCTTATAGAAGCGAGAGTCATTACAAAGAAAACCCCTTTTCAAAATCACTTTCAAAAACACATCTCAAAAACACTTTCTTGAAAATATTTTCGAAACAAACACTTTGTATGCGTTCTTATAGAAACGAGAATCATTACAAAGTTATATTTAATCTATTTATATAAATAAGATCCCAAACAATATACTTAAAAATACTTAATAGTACAATATAATATAATAATGTAATCAATAAGATTGCAAGAAAATATAGTACGATATAATATAAAGATTATTAAAACATATATAAAGTTATCATCGATGATTTATTCTTTTATATTTACATGAGATCTTTGAGGTTAATTAATATTATATTCTTGATAAAACAAAAGATAAATTTATCAAAACATATAAAAAATGAAAGACAAAAAAATATATAAAAATTCAATTTTAGAATACAAACCATATAAATTTATTACGCGCATTTATAAATTTAGAAACGAATGATGAATAAAAATAAATGACAAATATTAATTAGAATGGTAATTATAGATTACAAAATAAAAAAAAAATTAAAAAAAAATCATTTTTATAGCATAAATTTATTCTATAATTATATCCTGTAATTATAAAGGAGACTGATTATAAAATTATAATTAGTAAATAAAATTTTATGGACATTATTTATGAATTGATAGTTAAACTGTCATGGAGCAAATTGAATATATATTGCAATGTAATTAAACATTTTGGAATCTGATTTTTTTTTTAATATCGATTAATTTTCATCTCATCATATTTTTTCATGATTACCATTTTAAAAATGAACTATTTCAAAAACTAAACATTTATAATTGTTCAAAAAATATAATAATATTAATAAATTTTTAATAACATATTTTTTCTTCAATTTTAAAATAAATGGTGATTAATAATTTTAAGCATATTTAGAAATATAGTATCTAATATTTTTAGAATTATATTTTAAATTTTAAATTTTTTACCATATTTAAAAATATACCATCTTTAGAAATATATCATTTTTTACCATATTTAATATCTAATATTTTACTATATTTAGAAATATATCATATTTTCACGACCGTAAGGAACACTAAAAAAATATTGTGGCCACGCAACACAATTTTCAGCTCTACAATTAGAAATCAAAATCATATTAAAATTCAAACAACTAAAATATATTTTACACTGCATAATTCATACTAAGTTTTTATCGGAGACCCTTGTAGAGCGTCAATAACATTTGACTAGCAAAAGAGAATACCATTTGATTCTATAATGGTCTAAAACAAAAGACAAAATCTAAAAAAAATTAATGGACAATAATCTTCCTCGAAATGAAACATAAAACTTTGTGATGATAAATCAATTGAAAACTCTACAGAGAATACATGTAAATCTGCCATAAAAGTTTCAAAGTAATATTAGAACAACATAAACAACAGAACCAGTCTAAGTATAGTTTATTAAATCGGCAAGGTCATGAACAAATTATAACAATGTCAGGGAATAGCTTAGATTCATAAACAATCCATATAAATATGAAAAACTTTTATGTTCAAATAAACACATCATCAACAAAATGCATAACACAATAATAAATTCTAATAACATGAATTCAATATATTTAATGGGATAAATAGAAAAAAACATATTCAATAAACATAACAATGGTGATTTTTTTACCTCTCATATGTTACGTGAATACATGAACACCCTCACATGTGCTCCCTTCAAAGAATTAAAACACAAAAGATACAACAATATCATAAAACAAACCCAAACAATAAATATCAACAATTCCATTACAAAACAATTACCATTGATATAGGCGGAATATTGGATTTGATTAGTAATCTGCTTCCAGAACTCGAATAGTTCTTCCCTGTTTATCTTTTCAACCTTCAACCTTTGTTTATGATTCAGAGCATCAAAGAGTTACCGAGTAAATTGGCAAAATTAAAATGCAGTGAAGTAGAGAGAAATTAAACGGTTAAAACGAAAAAATGCATGATTATGGATAAAGATTTCAATTCACAAAATCCTTACCACGAAGCAGTTACAAAACCCTTTCGTATTGGCGGTGACATATTTTCTAGATTAGAATTCGTCCAAAGCAGATTTTCCAAAAACTCTTTCTCAATACTGATAATACGCAGACAACAAAACCAAATCATATTAACATATATCACACCAATACTTTCATTAATATAAAAATACAATAACCAATCCATAAAATAAGTATTTCTGTAATCAGAATCCAACATAAATATCAATTTTGCAAATCCGTTCAATTTAATGAAACGCCCTTCCACTGAGAAAATCAAACCATAACCTAACAACTTCACCAGAGCGGATTCAGATGATGGTTTACAACGGCTGCACTTTCAAAGTTTGCGCTTGAAAAATCTATGCGATTTCGTGTTTTCGTGTGGTGGTTTACGGTGGATCTAGTGGGATGAAGCTATCATGGTGGCGGACCAGGAAAAAAATGAAACGGAGATGGAGAAAGTCTTTTGAGTTTTTGTTCTAAGAGAAACATAAATAGGGCGTGCGGATTGCAATAAGTAAGTTGAATTTTTATTATGAGTTTTTATGTGACATTTGATTGCTCTATGTATTAATTAAGCATAATGTTAATTCAATTTTTTTGAAAATTGTAGAGTATCGTTTGAAAGCATTGGATTATGCAGGGTGGGACAAACAAAAAGGTTCTAAAGGTTCCGATGTATCTATTAATATGATAAGCTTTTAGTATTAATTAAGTTATAAAAAATGGAATTAAAAAAATAATAATACAACAATAAGTCTCGTGATGCCACATCACCTATATTAAATGCCAAAGCAATGTAATGGAAGTATTTTACCGATAGTCATATTTACCCCTGTAATTAAATCAATTTTAATTATTTAATTAGAAGATTTTAAGTGTAATTAACAAATAGTTTTATATTTATATATTTATAATAGATTTGAGTTTTTATTCCGTTAAATCAATTCAGTTAATAACTGTGTATGAAAGATCAAATGCAAAATTGTGTGATTAAACCTAGACATTTCATTTATTGATCTTTAAAAGAAGAGCTTCAATAACTAAACTATATTACCAAAAAATAAATGGTAAAATTTTTTAAACCAATTTCAATTTTAAAATCAAACCGAATATATCTTCAAAATTAATGTCAAACAAACACAAATAAGTCGAAACTTCAAGTAAAACATTTATTTGTATTAAAACTTAATAAACTTTCTGTAAACTAAAAATATAGTGAAATACTCAAATAAATATCATACTCTAATTTTGATTAACTTTATAGTTATCATATCCAAATATCCCTAGTAAGTATTGAGATTTTATAGCTAACTAATAATGGAAAAGTGAGATCCGAATCTAAAGCAGTGTTCACATTCACACACAACGTAGTTCAATCACATACACTCAATCTCACATGTAACCCATACACAATCACCCTCCAACACCCTATGATCAAAAGCTTGAAGTCCACGCAATCACATGATCCAAACAAAGCTCACACACTTACTAGTCACTACCTCACTCAAACGCACCAAATCATTTTTTCTCCTACGAAAGTTCCAACCACTTCCCATAGCTTCCTTCTTTGACCATAACACTATCCCAATCCCAAAACCCCCTTTCACCTTACAATCCCTAACACTCTCATTTTCCCATTTGGTCTTTCTCTCTTTCTATTTGGTTTCACAACCTAATCCTCGAATCCTCGTACCCAGAGGTTCGATTGTATTACGTTGTGGTTTTTGATTCGAAAAGCTTGTTTTTTTTTTTTGTTTCTCCCTTTTGGGTGAGAAATTTGATTTCTATAATTAGGGTTTCTAATTCTGCAATTTCATCGCCGATTCTGATTATCCGAAGGCGTGAGTCGCTTAATATTGTTGTGGATTATTGGTTTTGACAGTGAAAGTTTCCGTTTTTGGTGCTGGGTAATCGAGGGTTCTTCTTTGTCTTCCATTTGAGATGGGTGCGGTTTCGGAATCTGCCTCTGCTGATTGTTTCAGTGAGGTGATGTCGTCCATGCCCGGTTTTCGATTCCACCCCACCGATGAGGAGTTGGTGATGTACTATCTGAAACGGAAGATTTGTGGGAAAAAGTTGAAGTTCAACGTGATTTGTGAAACCGATGTTTACAAGTGGGATCCTGAGGATTTACCTGGTATTGATCTTGCTCTTGAATCTTATTCCACTACCTTTTTTTGATCGTTTTTGGTTGGTGATTGTTTTGTCGTTGACCTAGGTTTATGTTTTTGTTTTGTTTGGTCGGTTATAAATTTGGGTATGAATGTTTAGATCTCGTTGTTCTAGATATTGGATAGATTTCATAGCCATTCAGGATTTGACATATGCTTATTTGATACTTTGAACGTGTTTTTCAGGTTAGACCTCCAAAGAGTTGACTTCGGTTTGTTTCAATAAGGTTTTTGTGTGTGTTATTTGGGTTCTCTTGATTTGTTTGTTTATCTGAGTGATTCATGTTATGATTGGATGGTGCTGTGATTCTGTTTATTTTTCGGTTAGGGTGTTTGTATGAGTTTCTTTTCCTTAGCTTTGACCTGAGTGTAAGACTGATTATCCTTTCCCATTTCCCTTTGTGGGGTTGATTGTCACGGTCAACTTTAATCTATTTTGTGGGTATGTTGAGATCTTTTGGTTGATATGGGGAGTGTGCGTGTTACACGAATTTGAAATTTCAACCAGTGCTTGATGGATCCATAGATGGTTTTTGTTCTCAAATCTGTATTATGTGATGATCCGCATGTATATGTTGTTAAATATGGTTAATTGCATCTTTTTTGAATTTATTTCACTCAAATAATGAGTTTTTGGGGTTCTAATGTTCTATGCTATATGGTTGTAGTATTGCTCAATTTTGACTGATAAAGCTTTCACTTTTTCATATCTTCTGGTTTGATTGCTTACTCGTTTGTAATATTTTGCAGGGCAATCTTTCCTGAAAACTGGAGATAGACAATGGTTCTTTTTCTGTCATAGAGATAGGAAATATCCTAATGGTGCAAGGTCTAATCGAGCAACAAGACATGGCTATTGGAAAGCTACAGGAAAAGATCGTAATGTGATATTCAATTCTCGGTCAGTTGGAGTGAAAAAGACACTGGTTTTCTATATCGGCAGAGCTCCTAATGGCGAGCGAACTGATTGGGTTATGCATGAATACACCATGGATGAAGAGGAGTTTAAGAGATGCTGCAATGTCAAGGTATTACCTTAAACTAACAATTTGGTTAAAATCATTGTTTCTGTAAGTCATCACCTTCAACTGATTATTTACTGACTATTATATTTTCTTATAAATTCATTACCAGGGCTATTATGCACTTTACAAGGTTTTCAAGAAAAGTGGACCGGGTCCTAAGAACGGTGAACAGTATGGTGCACCATTTAAAGAAGAAGAATGGGCAGATGACGATGTTGTAGATTTTAATGTAAATTCAGCTGAGCGGGAGGCTCCAAATGCTGTAATGGACCCTCCTATTGATCAGCTGCAGCCGTTGTTGGATGATGAAATCGATGAAATCATTAAAGCGATGTTTGATGTTGAGCCTGTCCTTGAACAGGATTATGTGAATGGTTATACCGACTTTCCACAGGTTTGTGATCTGCCTGAAGTTTATTCATTCTTATTAATTTCTGATTGTAATATTGCTCCTCTCTCTTTTAACTTCTATGCTTGTTATTTTCTATAGCCGCTGACATACATTTTTTCATGACTCATAGGTTGTTAATGAAGAAACACAAAGTATGGTCTTGGGTCAGTTCTCTGAGACCATGATATTCCCTGATCCTGGTGGAAATTTGCAATCTAGCAGTCAACATTATGATGCGCAACCCAGCTTTGACTTCAATCAGTCAGTTACTTCACACTTTCATATTTATGAAGCACCCGAGGTCACTTCTGCTTCCAACATTCAAAGCGAGGAGGAGCCTGTCTTTTATGAGGACGGCTTCTTGGAAATCAACGATCTCTTCGATACCGAACCTACAGTTTCAAATTCGGAAAAGCATAATGAGGATCTCTTTGAGAACCTCCAGTTTGAAGATGGGTTAAGTGAATTTGATATGTACCAAGATGCAGATATGTTTCTTTGTGACCTGGGGCCTATTTGTGCCGAAACAGTTTCAAATGCATATATGAATAACGCTGGCAGTAATATTGAAAATCAGAGTCACCAGTTGCTGTCTGATGCAGAAGTTACCAATCAAACTGTTGATGAATTCTGGATGCATGTTGAAAGAAACACACGCAGTCCCACAGAAGACTTCAACGGTTCTTTCTCTCTAACAAATCCAGGTATAGTTGTTGGCACAAGATACAATGTTGCTCAACTGCCAAATAATGATTTTACTTTCTTTGATTTGGATGGAGTTTCAAGCTTCCTATCTCATTTCTGCTGAGCTCTTCACAGTTTACTGTGGTTGACACGCCATCTTATGCGCGGCAGAAACCCTTTCCGTAGTTTAAATTTTGTGATATTTTGAGAGCTTAATTATAAATTAAAACTAAACTTTATAGTATTATATTCCTGTTAAGAAAAATGAAATTCGAGGCAGATTCAAGTGTCTCTTTCTGCTTAGAAAATGTCATGGGCTATCCCTAATACGTCATAGTTTTTGGTCATGTTTAGGTGTTGTGTGTGACTCTGTCAGCTTTCCTACTGAAAGCACTGAAAATAGACGAAACACTATGGAAGACGTTGCTACTACAAGTAGAATCTCCTCTGCTCTTTGGGCTTTTGTTGATTCAATACCTACCACTCCTGCATCAGCCGCCGAAAACCCTTTGGTGAACCGGGCTTTGAATAGAATGTCTAGCTTCAGCATGATGAAGATGAAGCCCGCTGACATCACTGCAGGTATTGATACTACAACTATGAAGAGAGCAGGCAGAAAGGGAGTCTCATTCCTTTTCTTCCCGATTCTTATTGCTTTATGTGCTTTCTTGTGGGTTTCTATTGGAAATTTAAGACTATTAGGGAGATACATCTCTCCTTGAATCTGTAAACCCAAAGTTTTGCTGTTATATATAATTTTGTCTGAGATCGATCTCAGAGTTAATGAAAGCAATTACTCTTCTAACCTATTCTGAAAATGAAAATATTTTATGTGTTGTAAATATTCAACTCAATATATGGTATAGGGTAAGCCACTAATATCTCGTTAAGCCTCTAAACTTGTATAATCTTATTGTTGTTTGATTTTTTTGGATCCCACATAATATCATGTTTTTATCACTTTGATTGTACAAATTTGTGAAATGTGTACATAATTGTGTATCCATGTGCCAGCCAATTTTGTAATCATCTCTAATTGGTAGTAACTTCTTTAGCATTAATATTATATTGTTCTTGTCATTACTTTCTGGTAAGTAAATATGTGTGCGCGATAATTTTTAAGGAGTTTATGTTTTTTCTTTTGTATTTTGAACTGCAAAGATGAAATTTTCGCATTATGGAGTGTTTTGCAAGTTTTGCAGAAATTATCAGGGAGTTTTGTTATTTAATACTAATTCACTCTGTTGGTTTGTAAGATAATGAATGACATGATAGACAATTGTTTATCATGTATATATGATAATAGATAAATAATACTATTATATAATATTATATTTTGATACACATAACATGATTAAATGTATATTATATTTAGAAAGATGAGATTATCAAAGTATTTTTATAATTTTAAATAACTAAATTTGAAATTTCTTACTGGTACTAATAATTCTTAAATTATATGAACGTTTTAATAATAAATTATGAATAAATAACTAATTATATTATATATTAATTATGCAAAAAGTTAAATAAATGTAAGAGATACATAGTTATATACTATATGAATTATAAAAATTATCTTTAGTTTATTTAAAATTAAATAAATACTTACATGTCGCATGTTTTTTATAATTAATTAAAAGAATATTTTTACTTTAGTATCAAACACTTTTTGTTTATTTAGATATTATTATTTTTGAACAATTTTCATTTTATTTAAATTAAATTTTATTTTTTAAGTGATATTTTATATAAGAATAGTTATCTTGTCTTTTTTTTCCTTCCATTATACACCAAATGAACTCTTATTGCTTGATAATTTATGTATTTAATTACAATTTTGATCTTTAATTTTAACTTACATAATTAATTCTTTTATTTAAGTTTTAGAGTTCTAATTTATTTTTAATTCTTACATTGGCAATGTGACGTTTTCATTAAAATAGAGAAATTCGTCTTATGAATTTAAATAGAGATTAAAATTGTAGTTAAATTTCTTATATATAACTAACTTAAATTAATATTCTTTTATTAATGAAGATTAAAAAAAAAGTTAAAAATCAAGATAAAATAGTTGTATGTGAATATTTTTGTTTATGATTGATGTTTATTTAAATTTTTTGTATATATTAAAATAAAATAGTTTATGAAAAATGTAATTAAAATTGAATTGAGTTTTTATATACTTCATCATAAAAGTTATTTATCCCAGTCTTCATTGATGTATTCGGAAACAAAGTTTTTATTAAATAAATATTAAAAATGTAATATGCTTTTTTATTTAATGAATATAACGTTCTTTTAAATAATAAATAACATGACAATATATCATTTAAAGTACGTTCAAAATTACTTTATTATAAAAAAAAAACTTTACACTAAATTATTCTAAATGAATTCAGAATAACTGATTTCTAAGATCAAAATCATTGTAAAAATTATTATGATCAATTTATAATTTTGAGAAAGATCAAAGGATTGTCGTATTATTTTTCATATTATTTGGATAACTGTTACGTAGGTTATTTGAAAAATATATGAAAAGGAATTTTTTAAAATAAGAGTAAGTCATGTCACTTTGTAAAAAGATAAAGTTTTTTATTGGTGGTTGAAAGCTTAATTGTGAGTTTCAGGATTGAA